CCCCCCAGCCATGCTCAGTCCGGGCCCCCCATGTGGATAACCTTTCTGAGGCTGCGAAGGAGCCTCATGGCTTCCAGGACTCCCCAGGAAGGCAACCATCCCCGTCGAGGCAGAGCCCAGGGGGGGTGGTGGGTGCCCCACCGCTGGGCCCACTTTGCCCGAAGCCTCCCATCGCCTCAGTCCACTCTCTGTGCCTTCCAGCCACAAATAGGAGCCTAAACGCACCCAGACAAACCTCACCTGTCCCTACACAGCTGTGTCCCTTCCTCCTGCTGCTATCTGCATCCCTCTTGTGCTTATGCTAGGGCAGGACAGCAGCAAATAGAGCAGTAGTCTCCCTGTAACCTGTTGTTCCCCTCAGCGTTGCTGCGGAGAGCAGCAGCAGCCTGTGGGTTTCAGCACACGCAGCCCCTTTGCTGCTACAGCTCAGGGTCTGTATTTTCCAGTTCCCCCAAGCTGCAAGGAGCTGCTCTCAGACCTGCTGCTTGTTCTCCCGGGCTGTGAGCTCACATCATCTTTTTTTTTTTATTATTTTTCATCAATGTTGTTATGCTGTAATCCTCTGAGCCTGTTTTCTGCTGAGTCTCCAGGCTTCCCCAGCTGTGGAGCATAACTGCACCCAGATCCCTTGCCTGTCAGTACCCCTCCTGCTGGAGCTCTGTGCTTAGAGGAGGATGGAGCAGAATTTACCTCTTCCCTGTGGGGCTAAACATGAAGCAACTGCAACAAAACCAGCAAAATGCAGAGCAATTCGATGTGATTTGCACACATGGGCAGTGCTCCTCCACCATCTTCCTTTTCAGCATTGAATCTCCAAACCGCGGCAGTGCTGATGTGGGTTGAGGACACAGCTCAACCGTGGGCAGATGCAGCATGTGGGATGCTGCCTGAGCTGCCTCTTCTCCCGTGGGCCAGTCTCAGCTGAACCAGGGTCTTCTTTCTCTCTCCCTCCTGTACTCCAGCCCGTACCGAAGGCTCACTGTGTTCTTTCTGCCCCCAGGACCAGCTCCAGCAGAAGATCATATGCCCTGGGCCAGTGACCTGCCTGACGGCTTCTCCCAACGGGCTCTACATCTTGGCTGGGGTTGCTGAGAGCATCTACCTGTGGGAGGTAAGGGGGCCGCGGGCTGGCACAGGGGATGGGGCTGTAGAGATTTGCATCCTGTACGGTTAGCGAGTGCCCCTGTTTCGTCAGGTGTCAGTAAATCTACATTATCTGGGCTCCACAGTGGGGCGAAAGCTTTGCTGGGTCGTGTACGTTACAGCTGTCCTGGTGCAGTCTGGGCTCCTGTTGTGGGTTACCCCAGCCGGCAACTAAGCACCAGGCAGCCTCTCACTCACTCCCCCAGGGTGGGGTGTGGGAGAGAATCAGAAGAGTAAAAGTGAGAGAACTCGTGGGTTGGGATAGAGACGGTTGAATATGTAGAGCAAAAGCCGCGCGCACGCCAGCACAGCAAAACGGGGAATTCATTCCCTGCTCCCCACGGGCGGGCGGGTGTCCAGCCATCCCCAGGAAAGCCGGGCTCCATCACGCGTAGCAGTGACTTGGGAAGACAAACACCATCACTCCGAATGTCCCCCTCCTCCTTCGTCCCCAGCTTTATATCCTGAGTGTGGCGCCATGCGGTCTGTCCCCCCAGCCCATCGCTGGTGGTGGGGGGTGAGGAGCAGAAAAGGCCTTGACGCTGTGTCGGCACTGTGTCAGTAACTAAAACATCCCTGTGTTATCAGCGCTGTTCCCAGCACAAATCCAAAACACAGCCCCGCACCAGTGACTGTGAAGGAAACTAACCCTACCCCGGCCCAAACCGGCACATCTCCATTTTCCCCTGAGGGCTGAGGCCGCTGCTTGGCAGCTTCCGTGGGTGTGCAGATCGTGGGGCAGCTCGTCCAAGCAGGGGGAAAAGAAATTGTGGTGGGAGGTGCTGGGTGAGGCTTAGGTCTGTTCTTTCCTTCTCTTTCCAAGGTGCCTCAGGGGTCGGGTGTTGCTCCCTCAAAGCAGAAACACAGGACCTAATTTTCTTTTAGCATTTCTTCCAGGTTTTAGCCTAATATTTGTGTGTGACTTGTGATCTGGATGTTTGCAGAGACTGCTGTGCTCTGGTCATCATCCTTCTATTTTTAATTAGTGGGGTGTTTACGTGGGGATTACAGTACATTCTAAGCACTTCACCAAGCAAATAAAAGAACAAGCTTGTTCTGAGCCCCGGGATTAAACACCGAGATGTCTAACCTGGAAAGCTCTCAGTCCTGGGGGATGTTTCTGAGCCTTGTTATGTGGGCGGCTCTATCTTAATTCATCAGGTTTTTCTTTCAAAAATATGCTCGTGGCAACGTTGGGGAAAAAAGCCCTCACAAGGGATGCTGGGCTGAGACTGCAGCGAGTGGGAATTACTCACTCGTGATGCTCTGAGCTGGTCCCATCTCTGCTTCATCTGCAGAACGTGGCCCTCCCTGCCTGCCCCCAGCCAGCCTGGCCGTGCAAACGCTTCCGAGCGTCTGCCTGGGGTGGGTGACGGCACTGTCCTGCTGGCAGAGGGAACAGACACCTTGGAGATGCTGCGTGGAAACCATCGTAGAGCTGGAAACGGGCCCAGGAGCCCTAGTTTTGTGCTTTCTCTGTGAAACCACTTGTTCTCCATTGAATTGCAGTCTGGTCTTATTTTTAGGTGTAATTCAGACAACGAGAGGGAGTCGATTCTGTTCTTTTGTGCGGGGTTCCCTCGCTGCCTCGTTAGTTCCCTCCCCATCTGCAGCGTTGCCTTTTAACAAGAAAAGCTCTGGGTTTAGGGAACTCCTTGTCCACCCAAAAGCCTCTGTTGGCCTGAGACCATTCAGCCATGCTGAAGTGCAGCAACCCCTGGGGTGGCACTCAGCCTCCTGCGGCTTTCATAACCCCCACAACTGTCTCGTTAGATGTTGTGGGAGGTTGGAAGCAGCTGTCAGAGTAATATTAACAATAAATAGGAAACCTTTACTGCGTGCTTGTGTCTTGACCAGAGAAACGGCACTGGCATCGCTAGGTTCCAGAGTTAACGTGGGCAGGACCTCTTCAAACTGTCTTCTGCTGTATATACCTTCGGTCATAAGCATATGTGGTTGTACTGGTTGCACCTCAGTCACATCAGTTGCCATCAGCGAGGTGCCAGTGGGCTCATGTGGGTGACACAACCTTCCCTTTTCACTCTGCTCACCGCCCTGTTCTGCGGTGCAGGGACTCTCCACTCTGCTCGCGCCTGGCACCGCAACGCCCGGCTGGGGATGGAGCTGCAGGTGCTGCTGCACCCACAACCGTTGAGGGCAGGGCGCTACGTTGCTCTGGGGCATTGCGGTGCTCCTTTCTTAATATTTTCCTGCCCTTTCCCTTGCTCTAGGTCTCCAACGGGAACCTCCTAGCCATCCTCAACCGACACTACCAGGACCTCACATGCCTCTGCTTTACTGATGACAGCAGCCACTTTCTCTCGGGGGCGAAGGACTGTCTGGCCCTGGTGTGGAACCTTTACAGGTAACAGTGGCCCACGGGGAGGTCTCGACCCATTTGTACGGGGGACAGGGAGCATCTGGGCGAGGAATATTAGAACAAGAGATCAGCCACCACTTCCCGGAGGCGGAATCAGCTCTGCCTAAGCCCGCATGTCTCAGCTGTTTGTAAAGCCTGCTGGTGAGGATGGGTCTGTGCCCTCCTTAGGCGGCTGTTCCACTGCTGTCGTCCTCGCTGCCAGAGAGGTTTTTCCTAGTGTCTCATCCGAGTTTCCCAAGCTGAGGCATATGGCTCTGACTTCTTTTCCCTGCTTGACACAGAATGGATTGTGCCCTTTCCCTGCTAATGGCAGCTGAGGTCTCTGTCCCGTCTGGGATGGGGAGCTCAGCAGGGGCCCTCATCCTCAGTATCGCATGTGCTGTGGTTGCTGGTGGCTTCTGTGTCCTGCTTGGTCGTTGCCGCCAGGAGTGCCATCCCAGAGCTGTGCCGGTTTGGGCCAGGGCAGAGTTTCCTTCACAGTCACTGGTGCGGGGCTGTGTTTTGGATTTGTGCTGGGAACAGCGCTGATAACACAGGGATGTTTTAGTTACTGACACAGTGCCGACACAGCGTCAAGGCCTTTTCTGCTCCTCACCCCCCACCACCAGCGATGGGCTGGGGGGACAGACCGCATGGCGCCACGCTCAGGATATAAAGCTGGGGACGAAGGATGAGGGGGGACATTCGGAGTGATGGTGTTTGTCTTCCCAAGTCACTGCTACGCGTGATGGAGCCCGGCTTTCCTGGGGATGGCTGGACACCCGCCCGCCTGTGGGGAGCAGGGAATGAATTCCCCGTTTTGCTTTGCTGGCGTGCGCGCGGCTTTTGCTCTACATATTCAGCTGCCTTGATCCTGACCCACGAGTTCTCTCACTTTTCTGATTCTTTCCCCCACCCCACCCTGGGGGAGTGAATGAGCGGCTGCCTGGTGCTTAGTTGCCGGCCGGGGTTAAACCATGACACGTGCTAACCCGTCTCTCTGTTCTCCCTACAGCGTGCTGCAGGCAGAGCCCTCCCAGATCCCTGACCCTCGCCACGTGTGGTCCCGACACAGCCTCCCCATCACGGACTTGTGCTGTGGCTTTGGAGGGCCCTTGGCACGAGCTGCCACAGCCTCCCTTGACCAGACAGCGAAGGTAAGGCTCGGCTCCGTCCCACCGAACAAGAGTTCTGGAGGTGTGCAGGTGCCAGAGGGTTAAAGCAGTTTCTGCTGGGCTGCAGCAGAGCTGTGCGTGAGGGTTGCAGTAGCTGAATTTCTTGGCTGTCTCTGATGACTCAGAGCTGCCAGACCTACTAATGGGCTTTGCCTCTCCAAACACCAGCAGTTTCTCTGCACCTGCCCTCGCGCTGCGCCTCTGCGTACTTTGCAGTCCCTCTTCTCCTGGGGAACGTTGGGCTCGGATCCTCTGATTCCCCTCACGGATGTCCTTAGTCTCAAAGGGCGGGAGCAGAGCAGCCCGGAGCCCACAGCCTGCTCCTCCTGCTCTGCAGAGAGGGGTCTGCCCTGGGGGCAGCACAGGCACGCAAAGGGGTTAAGGCCCGTTTTGGAGCTGCCCGGGAACCTCGTCTCATGGTCGGGAAGAGGCCGCTCCTGGGTTCTGTCGTGGTTATACCTTGGCCTCGGTTTCCCCATCCGCAGGATGCTGCCTGCTTGCTGCTGGGCAGGTGCTGATAAGCAGCAGCGTGTTCTTCCAATCCTGTCGTTAACATTTAAGCCCCTAATTCTCCCGTACCCTCTTGCTCCAGCTCTGGGAAATCTCATCTGGGGAGCTCCTGCTTTCCGTCCTCTTCGACGTGGGGATCATGGCGGTGACTCTTGACCTCTCCGAGTATCACATGTTCTGCGGTGGCATGGACGGATCCATCTTCCAGGTTGACCTCTGTGCCTGGGTGAGTGCCTGGGGCTGCAGACCTGCGGAGTGCTGCTCTTGATGTGGCACCCTGAGCCTACGCGACTGGTGTGACCTGCCAGGGCACGGGCGGGACTGGGTTCCCCTGTATCTCCTCTGCCCCCTCCAGACACAGTGATGAACCTGCTGGCTTCAGTCTTCCTGAATTTAAACTACTCTCTCCCTTCCTTCCTGCATTTCTGCAGCCAGTCCAGAGAGACCGGACCTTCCAGACAGAGCGGGAGAACGGGAAGGTCTTCAAAGGGCACAGGTGAGGGACCAGACATACCTGCCAAACACTTCATCGCCCCCGTCTGCCCACCTCACTGGTTTCTGGCAGTCCTCGGGTCGTCCCGAGTTTAAACTTCCTCTTCTCTTCCCCATTCCAGGAACCAGGTGACGTGTCTGTCTGTCTCCACGGATGGCAGCCTGCTGCTTTCCGGCTCGCACGACGAAACAGTCCGGCTGTGGGACATCCAGAGCAAGCAGTGCCTGAAGACCATGAATCACAAAGGTAGGCATGCCCTTATCTCCAGGATCCTTTCCTCCTCAGCTGCCCATGGCCGCCGCTGTCTCACTTCTGCTGCTCTGACGCCGCCCTGGCCACTTCAGGCATTTCTCTTCTACTTGTTTCACACCTCCAGGAAGGACAGAGGCATTAGAGGGACGCCTTCGCTGTCTGGAGTGGTGTTTTGACCTTGCCCATGTCTGTTAACAACCTCCCTGTGCACTGTCAGGGAGTGAGTCATAGATTTCACCCTGTCGCTGAGGACATCCAGGATCTTCCTCCTTGTTTTCCAAATGAGGACATCCAGGATCTTCCTCCTTGTTTTCCAAAGGGAGCGGTTGCCCCACACGCACCCTAAGGCCTGGCGAGGCCGTGGGAGCGGGAGGATGTGTCTGGAGAAGAGACTGTCTCTGTGACCCCAGCAATGAGCACCCATGAGCTCATGAGGCCTGAAGTGAATTCGATATAAGCAGTCATCTGGGGTTTCAGTCTAATGGCTCCGACAAACCATGCAAACAAACCTTTACAGGCTCAGATTGGCAATTAGGTGCCTCAGAGCAGTGGACGATTTAGCCCTCCTGTTGCATTTGAGCTGTTGCTGACAGTGGGTTTCTCCTGTGATCTCCGGTCTCCTAACACCGCTCTCGCTGGTGGGGCTGGCAGCGCTGCTCTCCGGGCACTGCCTAAACCCTCCCAGAAGGTGACAGTGGTGAAAGTCAGACCCCGTTCCTCTGGGATGCTGCCTCTGAACAGAGGTGGGCGAGGTGCTGCCCCAGGGCAGTCGCTGAAAGCCAGGCTGCCTGCAGACGCTTTCCTTTTTTCCTCTTGCTGCCAAGGACCGTTTCTAATGGGGACCTACTGCAGCGCCCATCCAGCCTTGCTCCGCTAGCACTATAGGGGTGAAAGCAGACAAAATCTGAGCTGTGTGAGTCATCAGAGAGGGAGGGCAAGCTTTCGCTGCGAGCCAGGCATTAAAACCCTCCTTGAGGCAGCAGGGGAGTGCAGATGGACAGAAGCTCTTCCCATGAGGGGCAGGACCAGGCTGACCGCGCTGCTGGGTGCTGGGGCCATGAGTTGTGGGCGCTTCCTGCAGCCTCTGCTGGCTCTCCTCCTCCTGCGGGCAGGGATTTGGCTTCCCCGGGAGCCCTGGCAGCAGCACCACCCTGCTGCTGCTGTGTGCTTCATCTGAGCCCGGGAGCAGGGTGGGAGCTGTATTGTGGATCAGGAGCTGCCATCCAGGGAGAGCCGCGCCGTGGGGAGCACAAGGTGGAGGGTCCCCGCACAGAGCACAGGCTCCCCACAGCCTCCCTGCGTCGCGGGCTCTGCAGCTCTTCTCTCCCAGCGCTGCCCCTCTTGGGCAGCCCTGGCACCCCGTCTTAGTGGGGCAGCGAGTTCCCTGCAGCGCTGGTTTCCAGCAGGTCACCGTCTCCCCTTGGCCTTCATCGCCACCTCTCCGAGCAGTGGCGTGAGCCTCCCAGCAAGGTCTGTTCCCTGCGCACCCCTCCAGCGCGTTCCCTGAGCCTTTCCCTTCCCAAGGCAGAGCTGACACAGGCTTTTCTGCCGTGCCTGACGTGACAGCAACCTCCGGGCTGGTGTGCTCGGGAAAGCGAGGTCCCTCCGCTCGCAGAGCAGAGCGGGTCGCTGGGGGCGAGGCAGAAACCGCTGCCCTCCCCACATGATGGTGCTGTAAATAGATTCGAGGGGTTGGAGGGTGGCTCAGGGCTCGAGAGGAGCGTAGCTGTGGAAGCAGGACAGATGCAGGGGGATTTTCCAGCAAGGTTTGCTTGTCCTTGACAGGGGTGGGCAGAGCACGGGCAGGCAGACGGACTTTGAGAAATTGGGCTGCTGCTCTCGGGTAATGAGCTGTGACTGCTGGGCAAGGCACAGCTGCTCCTGGTTGCCCGGCGTGGCTAGCACCACACCGAAGGGAAGCAGGGGACCTCTGGGATGCGGGGGCCAGCACACCCATGTTCCTTGCCAGCACTGCCCAGGAGCCCCTCCAGGCCTCCGTTCCTGTCCTGTCACACAAGCTCCTGCAGACACCGTGTGGCACAGACTGTCCCCGGGGGCTCGTTCATGCAAGGCCACCCCGGGGATGCTCCGGTTGATCCATCCTGCTGGCAGCTGCCAGTGTTGGAAGCCGGATTATTTATTCTCCCCCAGTTGAGTCCAGTCCCTCTGCCCAGTCTGGCGGGGTGTCACCCACTGCCTGGTGCCCGAGCCATCGGGACGAGGTGGGCTTGGACGGGACCGGCACCTGCAGTGAGGCCCAAGAGCGGCTGGGGGGTCTGCGCCTGGATGGTGACCAGGTTTGGGGATCTAGTCTATGGGCTAGTTCGTGAGATTTTCTCTTCTTCGCCTTTCTTGTCCCTTCCTTTCAAATTGTTCCTCGAATTGCCGGTGAACCAGCAGCGGTAATGTCACTAATGGATACTTTCATACGTGAAGCAGCAAATGTCCTGTCTTCAGGGAGGGAGCAAGAGTAAAACAAATGGTTTGTTACAGCGAAGTGTTGGCAGAGAGCGGCTTCAGGGGCAGCCTGGGACAGCCAGCAGAGCAGCTTCTGGGCTGAGTATTCAGCAGAGCCTTTGGTTTGCCGGTGGGATCCCGCCTTGGTTCCTGGGAGGGTCAGGCTTCGGAGCAGGCTCTCATATCGCTGGAGGGGGAGATGATGGCGAGGGAGCCCTTATCCGCATCAGAGGTGATTTTGTCCATCTCCTCCGCAGAGACTGAAACCCTCAGGCAGCTCCGGGCTCCCTCCCTCATCCTTTGCCTTTCCCCACTGCCTTTGGGGGGACGCTGGGCGGGCGCTGCGGCAGCCTGCCTCCGCTCAGGTGCATCTGGATCCTTTTAACCTTTCCCTTTGCGCTGTCGAGTTTGGGCAGGGGAAGATGGATGGTCAGGGATTTATTAGCAGTGACTGAGCTGCTCTGCTCGCACACAAGGGCACTGGCTGCTGGAGGCGTT